AATTTATACAATATTCAAATTAATAAATAAAAGACTATGCCATTTCATGAATGAAAGAACTCGTTCCAAAGATTACAAAATAAGGCTATACAAGAACTTCAACTACAAGAATTCATATGCAATACAGAATTCTGACATTCGTACTTCTCATAAATTAATTGGTAGAGCATGTATGTGCACACTTCACCACAGTTCATAGCTAACTAACTATGGGTGCCACAAATATCAGAGGTAATTCTTCTACAGTAACGTCATGTTAAATCTTATGCAGTATAAAATTTGCAGCTCGATGCAGTATAAAATCTAGAATACAAGTACTATAATGAATTACCTACTGATATAAAAAATATTTGAATAATAGAATTATTAAACTAACATTAAACTATATATCCTCTGTACAAGCGACTAGGAGTTAATTTGAAGTTAAAAAATCGGTATAGGGAGTGCTATTTACCCTCAAAACGAAACTCAAACATTATTCCACTTTAAGTAAAAGAAATTTTTTGAAATAATTACTTCTGTTATGTTTTAAATTATGAGGGTCAAATTTAATAATAACCGTAACTTATGCTTATAAATTATAGGACTAATAATAAATAAAACGCTCATTTGCGCTCAGTATGAATCCTACATTAACCATATTAAAACTAATATTTATTTATATAATTATAATTTAAATATAATTTAAAAAATAAAAAAAAATGTTTTCCACTTCTACTCTGCATTTATACATTTGTATGTCATGAGGTCTACTTATAATTTGTAATATTTTATGACTAGTATAATAAAATTTCATGTAAATTATACTCTTAAATTTAATAAACACACACATATCACTTAATTATTTTTGATTTGCGTGATTTATGACCTATAGTTTGTGACCTAGACCTTGTTTGCAACCAAAAAAAAAAGCATGTTTAAATGTACATTTTATACACTAACTAAATTATAAATTGTATAACAACAATAATAATTAGATTTCATAAAATAACTAGAATGTAGTGTTATACAAACCTACAAATATCACGTATTTACAATACTTAAATATTGTTAATGAAAAATGAAAAAAAAATATGAAAGCTTTAAATAATTTGTGGACAACAATTGATGAGATTAATAAAAAAAAAAAATGTAATGTAGATCAAAAATATTATTAATGAATCATCTTAACAATATTTTTTACAATTGTACTGTGCGAATATACGAATGGCTATAATTTATTTCAAATTATCAAGAGCGTCAAATAAGCAGTTTAAATACCCGTCGCTTAGCATTAAATTAAAATGTTTATGACAAATTGAATGATAATGGAAAATATATGTTGTGCACCCTTAGAGAGAATGTAAAGAAGAATATTTTTATTTTTAGAGTACGTTGTAATACGATGACGATCTCTATTAATTTTAGCAATAAAGACCTTGCCTCAATTTTTGAAGAAATAAGACACGATGAAGCCACTGTATATAAATCGTGGGTGAAGTATATATAAGGTCCCTTGTGAATTGATCTCAATTTCTTCTATATCTAAACAAGTGACAACACCATATGATATTATTTCGAATTAGGGAGTTAGCCTTGACGATAGGCTCATTTTTGAGCCACATAGTTCAATTTTTCACAGCGTTAATTCTAGCATATGCCTTTTCTAAAGTGATGAATGAAAGAGTTTTATGATTTATACTTAGTTACTTGTGTATAACGTTACATAGTACATTCGATAAGTCTATTTCTGAAGTGTGCCAGTCAGGTTTAATGTTCTTTTAAGGAAATTCACGTGTAACGTATTGAGTCAGTTCAGAAGCGCTTTCTTCGAAAAGTTACTTTGCCTAATTTTTTGGGGTGGTTGGTTAAGTTTGTTTAGTTAAGCCGGTAGGTTACATTTGATAGGAGTAGATACCCTTGATTAAACACCGCGTCGTGTGTGATGTAATTTTTCTGTATTTTTCTGTAAGGTGATGATTAACAGAATGATAACTTCACTAAGTCATTGTACAAAAGTCTTTTAAGATTGGCGTTAGCAGATAACCTGCGCTTTTGACTATAGCAGATATGAAATTGAATGTTTAGCGCGATTAACTTGTATGCGAATTTATTTGAATATTTTGAATTTTTCAAATTATTTTAAGTATAAAAATTATTTCAAAATTTAATTTATGAACTACATTATATAAGAAATACTTTTATATAATAGTAATACAATCAAGTACTATAAATCTTATAGATGACTCAAATAAGGAAATCAATCTACTTGTTTTGTATTTAATCATGCTTCTTACTTCTTATAAATATTTCATGTTCTGAAGTATTTCAAAGGTAACATCTCGTATTTCTTATATTATTACTTGTGAAAATGGAAAATATGAATTTGCAATTCATTCCTTTTCATTTATAATTTCTTCCTATACGAGTACTATACTTCATAGTTTTCTTCAAAGGCTTTTCTTCTCTATATATTATTAAATTTTAATTATATTTCCGTTATCATTAAACTTTTAGGTATACCAAAGAGTTCATCTTTCTAATAATTTACGAAAATCTATTTCAAAATAGAAATTTAATTGAATAATAATAATAAAATTATGCAATCATATTTCCAATAATTCCAATTTTTTCTTTCTATATAGTGAATCTCCTGAAATACAAAACTATTTTCAAAAGAATCTTGAAAAATACATAAAGGAAATGAATAAAGGCCCTTAACAATTTTATGCTTAATTATCTATAAAATTATGTCAACATTTTCATTTTTTTGATATTTTCAGAATTTATTCAATAACCGCTTATATAAGGTAAATTTATAATATGACAATTAATCAATTATAAAATTATAATGAAAAATTATAATTGTTTCAATGAATTTTGCCATCAACACAATAATTTCAATTAATTTAAAAATTAAATACAATAAAAAATTAATATTTTTTTAATATGAAAGAAAAATATTTTTCCATATTTAATTTATTAAAATTTTTATTTCCATATAATTACTCTCATATAGCTTACATTCATTCTGCAATAACACTCATTGAATTTCCTTTAATATTATAATAAAATGTGATTATAAAATATTGAAATTTTGTAATTATGTGAATAATGTGCAATTATTCAATGATTTCTTATAATTATTTTTGATCATCCAGTTTCAGTAGCAAACAGAACTCAAATATTAAATTTCATGAAAATTTCTTCAACTACTTATTTAGATATTTGTAAAAAAAGCAACATCAGTCTCAAATTCAATTTCAGAGCTCTAATATTCCTTAAAATTTTATAAATCTTTGTTTAGCACCCAACAACAGGAGAGAATTTAAGATAATGGTTAATTTCAACGACCATTTTGTCATTGTAACGTTGTCTGCAGTACTTCAGTAGAAGAAAAAATCCCCAATTTTTACCGGCTCCGAAATTTACCGAAAGAGAAACAACAAATTGTTAAATAATACTGCATTTTTAAACTGAGTAGGTGAGTAGAAATTTTCTTCTGAAGAGAATATGATTTCTCAATAAAATTCATATACATATATATAAAATATCATCTGTCTATCTCAAAGCATGTATAGAAATTTTCTAAACGAGATCACGGACGGACAGAGTACACACACCTAATAAAGACATAATATGTATTTTTCAAAAATTTTGCGGAAAATGCTAAAAAGTAGAATTTTAAATTTAATAGATTTTATAAGTTCACATATAATATGAGAATTTTAAGAACTTATTTTTAATTAAGTAAGGACACAGACAAAGAACAGCAAACAAAACTTGTCAAAAATATATTCTCTCATTTCCTTCTCTTTTATTTTACCACAGAAATGGCTACAGCTGCCTGACAAAAACTTAAGTATATGCATTCAGTTTAAAAAAAAAACTAAAAATCTATATTGTTATAATTACGCCTAATTTTATGCAACTTGTATTTAATGCCTAAGAAACACGACCGCATATATATGTATACACATATGTAAATAAAAAATTAGTATGTAATATTTATTTTTTAACTAACTTAAAAACTTTTATGCTATTGTATATAAATTTATAACTGTGAATATGTAGATATGCCACCCACCACAATTATAATACATATGTGCCTAAGCTAAAAATGTACAGTATAACAACAAAAAAAGTTGTTATATACATTACATTTAAATATTATACGTATAGGCAGAACAAGTTTTTAATATGCGGGTATTTTATAAAATTTTCTGAAGAAAAATATATATATATATATATATATATAAAATTTGTTTATTTTTTTCACAAAATCTTAATGGATTTTTCTTGTTTCTTAAGTAGAAATTTCATTATAAACATATAAACCTAAAGGATATATTATGAATTTATTATATTAGCACGTATATATATGCTTAAGCATAAATTTTTTAATTAAGTACATATTATATAAAATTTGATATACATATATATCTTAGAATAAAGATATACGTTATATGTATATGCATGCACGTACATTACTGTTACTTAAATTTAAGTGAATAATAATCAATTCCTTTTATATATAAAGATTTTCCATAATTTTGTGTTCCCGAAGCGTGTTTACATAGGTTAAATTTCTTTTGTATTTTTCTCAACAATTAGTCAATATATACTGATATATATATTACTGATATACTGATATATATTGGTTAAACATGTGCGTAGATTGTAAAACCGGGGTAACAGTGAATGTATTGTGCCCATACCCCTTCCCCCCCCCCCCCCCTCAGTGCAAGGCGCAGCCCTATAGAAATCTTCCAAAATTACTTAGATTTAAAAATTATTCCAAAATAGTCAGTTCTCTTTTTGTATTCTACAATTTTTATTCAAACAAATTTATGGTAATAAGACTCTAAAGAGATCCGAATTCCCGGTTAAACCTGTTTTAATAATATTTTCAAAATTTCACTTAATAAATTTGTGTTTAAATACTATTTTAATTTAATTTTAATTAAAAATATAATTATAAAACATAGTAACTTAATCATATATATACAAAAGTTACTTACCTTAAATTAAATCCGAATAACAATAGTAACGCAAATACTAATGTTAGGAAGAAACATCTTTTAAGTGAAATCTTTGGCAATCGCATTATATGTTATTATATATATATATATTATATTATATAACACATATATATATATATTAAAAATATTATTTTAAAATCATCACATATTCACCATATGTATATATATATTTAAATATATATTATATATATTAAGATTATTATAACAACATTTTTATACTAATTTAATTTAATATTTTTTGTATATATATGGATATATATATTTAATATTTAAATATATATTTAAAAATAAAATAAATTAAATTACAAAAAAAAAATCACATATTATAAGTATATTTTATTAAAATTTATTTATATATATATGTATACTTATTTATATACATTTATATTATTTTATTTATTAAAATTTTTAGATTTTTCTTAATATTTCACTTATGTATTGCAATCATTTTATGTTCTATTGAATATTACCAAAAAAACTTTATTAAATTTGAGTTTTCAATTTAATTTAATATTTTTTATTAAATTTTAAATTAAATTTTTTTTATATATTCAATATTTTTCAATTTAATAATAATAATAATTCATTATTATGTATAACACTTTTTTTTTTGATATTTTAAAATATTACGTATTTTTTAGTATAACAGTTGGTGTTGATTATTTTCTACATCTAAAATAAAATGCAATAAAATATTCAATTATAAATTATTAAAACGCACATAAAATATACAAAATAGTAAATTTTTTAATAAATTAAATCTAACTCTATCGGCTGTCTCAAACAAAAGCACAGTAAATATTAATTGTATAATAAAGTAAACAAAAACATATACATACTACTTAGAGTAAAAAGCGGCTTATTATAATTTTCAACCCCCCAGCGCATTCAAATTTTAAAGATTGAATATCAAATATAAATTTGAAGAAATGTTCAGCAGAGTTCTGAAAAAACTTTTTGGTGTAGCAATCGCTCAGTTAACATTTTCTATATAGAATTGAGCGGCTTGATATCCGAGGAATTTTTATTAACAACTCCTTGGTAAGTACTGGAATTTGCTTTCAGCAGTTCTACTAACGTCCCTTTCACTTTAACCTCCCGTGCTGAATTGCTTTTTTTGTCTGGAATAGAATTTTAGTAATTCGGAACTGATAATATGAATTTTCCCGAATTTCAGTGGTGATCATTTCCCTTTTTCAGGGCTGATTGTTTTTGAAAATTACTGTGTTTTTGTTTGCGGCAACCGAAATATTAACATTCAACAATTTTGTATAGTTGCTATATTATAGAGAAAATAAAACAGAAAAGCACTTATTCTATAATTCAAATTTTAATACAATTTTCATTATTTATAAATAAACATTTAGAATTTAATTGAAAGAAATAATTGTTAAAAAAATCAAAAGTTTCCGTGACTTAAAATTTGCAATGATATACTCTATATTCAGTTAATATGTTAAATAATTAATTAATTATATATTATTATGTGTTATTATAATTTAGAACCTTATAAGTTATAATAAATTTGCTTAATTGCGAATATTAACATAATATGTATATCGCATTGCAATTTTAAAGTCATAATTATAAAAGCACATTCAGTAATATATTTTTTTTTTAAATCACTATTATACTATAGTAAAATATTTGATATTAAAACACACTGAACCAAAATATAAAAATTTTAAATTTTATAAAACTTTAAATTTATTAAATATTATAATTTATTTTTTTTTTTCTTCTCATTGCTGCTAATCATTAAAATTATTTAATAGGATAACAATAAGTTTTTACAAATAAAACAAATTTTAAGTCATGTGTAATCTATTTAAGTATATTATGTATATCAATAAAGTATGTAAAGTATGTATGTCCAGTTCAGATTATATATGCATATAATATAACAATAAAAGTTTATTAAATTAAATATTTTATTATTTTTTTTTTTTGATTTTCACTTGTTGCCGGTATTAAACATTCTAAAATAAAATATTCATTATTATAATAATAATTTTTTCCAATGATAATATTCATAATAATATTATTAATACTCGTATGAATATGTTTTGTTGTTTGTATATTTATAATGTCTATAATAAATATTATATTATGTATATGCAAATGATTATAATCTCGCTTTACTCTTACATTACGTGTAGAACATAGAGAGAGAATAAATGATGCGACGACAACAATAACTAAAATGTACACAAAACTATTGTAGTATTGTGGCATGTAAACGGAGTGAAGTACAGCATTTATTATTATTATTATTATTATTATTATTATTACTGTTAGAGAATAGTGGTGAGTGAATATTGACACTTAACCACGATTTACACAAATTTTGTTTTATTATTATTTTTTAATTTTTTTTGTTATTATTGTTTTTACTGATGCTAGAATTAATTTTTCTCTGCTTTTTGTTTAGTTGTAGTACTTTTTTTTGTTGTTGTTGATTATTACTGTTATTATTATTATTATTATAATTTTTTCTTCTTAATGATTATTATTACGGTTTGACTGATTGGGGAGAATTGTTTAGTCAATATTTTTAAAAACTTTTTGTTTTTTGTTTTCTCTTCGTTGTTTTTTTCCTATTTTATGTTAAAATAAAGTTGCACGTATTACTTTTAATTTTGTGTCAATTTGATTTTATTTTATGTTTAATGTGTGTGTGTGTGACTTTGTGTGATTAGACTTTTTTTTTATTCCTTATTATTATTTGTAGGTTAAAGTAAGAGAATATCCAAGATACGCAAATATTATTATTTATTTTCCATATATAAGATGATTCAATATGAGTCCAAAAAGAGAATTTTCAAAAGCATTCGCTCTTAAAAGAAAAATTTTTAAGATTTTATAATTTGCTATTACGTTACTTTATGGTCGCTTTCTCTTGATTTTACTCGAATTAAATTATGCTACGGAGCGAAGATTTTTAAACTATTGCTCGTAGTCGTATGTACTCGTATTTCTTGAAAATGACTTGTCATTTCACTCGTATAATATGAATGCAGATTCACTCGTATAATATGAATTTACACTAAGGCAACACTATTTATTAGGAATGTATGATTAAAGAGATTTGGCTCTTATTAAAATAACTAAATTCATATATATTATATTGGTGAAAATATATATTAAATTGGTGAAAATTTCAAAACCTTATCCAAAAATTGAAACACTCTATATTTACTTATAATACATTGTAAATATACATAACAACATAACAAACTTAAGGGTATCATAGATTTTATAATATTATGGCCAATAATCTGCTTTTTCAATTTCTTAGAAATATAGGCAATTATGGTTACATACAAAGTATATAATCAAAGATTAAATAATGCAAATATCATATAGTAGTTTACCGCATTTTTACTATTTACTTACATGACTTTGCATTTTTTCCATACAATGAATGGAATAGCACTATTTTTTCAACATAAAAGAAAAGAAATGCCAGCACACATTCTAATACATTCTATTAAAATGTTAATTGTGTTTATTATTCTATATATTACAATGTAAACTCATTCATTTAATGTATATGTATATTTGTGCATATCACAATTATATAAGTTATGTTTGATCAATAAAATATATTAGTTTATTCCTTCGCATTACAAAAAAAAATTATAAGGATATGTTCTATATTTCAACTCACAGTAGAAATAAAATAATTTAATAAATTAGTTGGAATCATCCATTTTGAAAGAGTATACTCTAAGACGAAAATTGCGTTTGTTATACAGGAAATTATTATTTTGCCTTAATTTCATTCTTTAGGTAAAAACTGGCGTTTTAGAAAGAAACTTGTAATTAGCAGTTAGAATAAAAGGAAATTGATTTTATTTTTTGAAAATTGTAGAACAATATAACCTACTCGAACTAATTCAGAGGAAACCGTCATATAGAACTAAGAGATTATAGTGAATGATATTGTTCGTGAAAATAGTTTTCAATTACATTTTCACTACGCATTGAGTACAATTTAAGAATCAATGAGATTCTATCATTTTTAATGAAATTTATATATTGTTATACTATATTACTGTTGCTAATCTATTGTAAGTTAAAATTTTCGAAAAATAATAAAAAATTGAATTTTCAATGTAAGATTAAATTTCTATAATACTAAAATTTTATTGAATTTTCATAATTCACAATTGAATGCACAATTTTATACATAATAAAACAAAAAAAAAGATCATAAAGCCAAGGGCTATTTGTATACTTAAAATATACACATTTTTAGCTTTCATAATAAAAATTTAAAAAAAAAATTTCTATAAATTTTAACAAAATTTTTAAATTTGAATTGAATTGAAAAAAAAACATTTAAACGATATTAAAATATATGTAATTTTATTTTCAAAAATAAAATTTTCCACTTAAATGAAATTTATGCTTAATAGTTTCAAACTCAATTGAAATATTAATAAAAATATACAAGTTTATGTGATAGGTATACTCCCCTTATAAATGTTGTTATTCTATACACTTGGTCCTTTAATATTTTATACACAAGTACCTTTTCATATATGGGTCCATTTCACTCATATATCCTACTAAATACGGAATAAAAAACCTAGGTACTTATGTACGATATATTGAATGTACTAAACATTTTTCCAAAAAAAAAAAAATTTTATATAAAAATTATTGATTTTTGTTATACATACGCTTATATGTATATATACTTTTTATTCAGTTTTTATTATTGCAATTGGTACGTGAATTTATATAGTTATACAGTTTACCTATATACATTCATATCTGTATATTATATACATGAAAAAATAATATCAAATTTAATTTAACCAATATATATACTTATATACGAACTATTAAACATGAATGCATAAAATTTTCAAAAAATTGAATTCAAAATCATTTAAAAAACAAAATTTTAAATAAATTACTTACATAATTTTTGTGGTAAAAATTAAATTTTTATATTATTATAATAATATTCGTTATTACTGTTATTTTATAAAAAAAAAATTGTAAAGGAAATTAAAAATATACTCAAGTTTTAAGTTTTATTTAAATAAAATTTAAGTTGAATGAAATGTAAATTTAGATTTTTACCATAAAAATAGAGAAAAATGAGTAAGTAATTTCTTTACATTTATATGGCAGTAACGCAAAACTACGAAATTCA